ATCAACTTTAAAGTTGGTCTGTAAATCACCTCTCCTTCTGACATTGTCACTGCCCAGCAAGCAGGGTGGTGAGTTTGAGTAATGAAAAAGCAGCAGCTGTGTGTCTAGCACAGGACGTATGAATGACAGAACAACACTGTAAGTAGCATCACCATCAGCATTTTACAGTCGTGGGAACTGAAACTCAGAGAGGCCACCGGATTCACATAGGACCAGCCAGAAGTGGTTAAGTCAGGGCTAAAACCAGGAATTGCAACTTTAGATTTCATTGCCTGCCACTGAGACTATCTAATTTAGACCATTTAGATAGGCACAATGAATCTGAAACACTGGATGAGCTCCTGGCGTATGCTCTGTACACAGTTCTAATGAACAGGCCCCTAGGTTTAATTAAGGGGAAAAAAGATTTAATTGTTTCTCCCAACAGCTGCAAATTATTTACACTGCATTTGTGTTGATGGCTAATAAAAGAGCAAAGGAGTGTGGGGACAGCCTCGGGTGGTTGTAATTCTTCCAGGGTCCATAATGAAGCATCAGTCTGAATGCCAAAATGTGAGAATGGATGTGCCTACTGTCCAGTTCACACCTGCAGTGGCCAGAGCTTCTCTCTGCCCTGGGCATGGTCCAATCTGTAAAAATGAGTTACAGGGGCCAAGACCTGAGAATAGCAAGGCACATGTCCCTGCCTCATTAGACTGCTTTCCAGTTAGTTTGTGATTGCTGTGGAATGGGTGAGAAGGAGCAAAATGGTGGCCCTGGTTGAGTCTGCCACTGCTCCTGGAACAGTTCTGAACTGACCTTTTGAAGGACGATGAGGTGGGAAGGGGACAGGAGCCACTGCCTCAGAGCTGCTCGCAATTCTATAAGCTCTCACTTCGCTGTGGCTACTGAAAAATATGTAATGTAATATATAAAATATATACTGTATAATGTACATTACATATATATTATAATATGTGTGTGTGCACTTCTCAGATATCACAAAGTATGAGTTTCTGATTTTCCTACTTATTAATTTTTAACCATATAATCGCCTTGGGAAAGTTACACCTTGTGGAGGTAGTTTATTCATCTTTATAATGATCATGCCTACCTCACAGGATGCTGTGATAAGCATTGCATATGTGACCACACCTTTTAAACTATGACATAGGGTGTGAAGTTTGGCATCAAAACAATTTTGATTATTCTAGAACCCCCTCTCTAACCTGTTATTTTGATTCTAATGTACCTACTCTGTATCCTGACTTCTGTGAGGGTATTGGGGGTGGGCAGAGGGGACTAAAAAAGAGAAACCAAGCAACTTACAGTTGAGTAATCAGATTAATGTTTTACAAAGATCACTCTTGATACCAGTGTGCAGAGTAGACTAGAGTAGGGCAAGATTTCCAATGGAGAGACCAGTCAGGAGGCCCCTGAAGCCATTCAGATAGGAGTGGGTTGGGCTAGAACCCATCAAACAAAGACATACAAGGGGAAGAATTGGCAAGAACTGAGTTTTCACCAGATGAGGTTCTCACATTGGAGTATGACACCAAATCCTGGCACAGTCTTATTTCAGTTCTCTACCCTTCATTAGTACCTGCTGATAGAAGTATACTGTATTCATTTGCTAGGGCTGCTGTAACAAAGTACCACAAACTGTGTCTATTAGTCCATTTTCTTGCTACTGATAAAGACATACTCAAGATTGGGCAATTTACAAAAGAAAGAGGTTTAATTGAACTTATAGTTCCACCTGGCTGGGGAAGCCTCACAATAATGGCAGGTGAGGAAGATCAAGTCCCATCTTACATGGATGGCAGCAGTCAAGAGAATGAGGAAGATGCAAAAGCAGAAACCCCTGATAAAACTCTCAGATCTCGTGAGACTTATTCACTACCTTGAGAACAGTATGGGGGAAACTGCCCCCCATGATTCAATTATCTCCCACTGGGTCCCTCCCACAACACGTGGGAATTGTGGGAGTAAAATTCAAGATGAGATTTGGCTGGGGACACAGAGCCAAACCATATCATTCTGCCCCTAGCCCCTGCCAAATCTCATGTCCTCACATTTCAAAAACAATCATGTCTTCCCAGTAGTCCCCCAAAGTCTTAACTCATTTTAGTGTTAATCAAAAGTTCACAGTCTAAAGTGTCATCTGAGACAAGGCAAGTCCCCTCTGCCTATGAGCTTGTAAAATCAAAAGCAAGCTAGTTACTTCCTAGATACAATGGGGATACAGACATTGGGTAAATACAGCCGTTCTAAATGGGAGACATTGGCCAAAACAAAAGGGCTACAGGGCCATTCAAGTCCAAAATCCAGTGTGGCTGTCAAATTTTAAAGCTCCAAAATGATCTCTTTTGACTCCATGTCTCACATCCAGGTCACCCTAATGCAAGAGGTAGGTTCCCATGGTCTCAGGAAGCTCCACCCCTGTTGCTTTGCAGGGTATAGCCTCCCTCCCAGCTGCTTTCATGGGCTAGTGTTGAGCACCTGCAGCTTTTCCAGGCACAGGTGCAAGCGTCAGTGGATCTAGCATTCTGGGGTCTGGAGGACAGTGGCTCTCTTCTCACGACTCCACTAGGCAGTGCCCCAGTAGGGACTCTGTGTGGGGGCTCCGACCCCACATTTCCCTTCCGCAGTGCCCTAGCAGAGATTCTCCATGAGAGCCCCTCCCCTGCAGCAAACTTCTGCCTGGGCATCCAGGCATTTCCGTACATGTTCTGAAATTCAGGTGGAGGTTCCCAAACCTCAATTCTTTACTTCTGTGCAACTGCAGGATCAATACCACGTGGAAGCCACCAAGGCTTGGGGCTTGCACCATCTGAAGCCATGGCCTGAGCTCTATGTTGGCCCCTTTTAGCCATGGCTGGAGCAGCTGGGATGCAGCGCACCAAGTCCCTAGGCTGCACATAGCTCAGAGGCCCAGCCCACGAAACCACATTTTTTTCTTTTAGGCCCCAGGGCCTGTGATGGGAGGGGCTGCCATGAAGACCTCTGAACATGCCCGGGAGCCATTTTCCCCATTGTCTTGGGGATTAACATTGGGCTCCTCCTTCCTTACAAACATTTCTACAATTGACTGGAATTTCTCCTCAGAAAATGGGATTTTCTTTTCTATCACATTGTCATGCTGCAAATGTTTCGAACTTACCTGTTCTGTTTCCCTTTTAAAACTGAGTGCTTTTAACAGCACCCAAGTCACTTCTCAAATGCTTTGCTGCTTAGAAATTTCTTCCACCAGATAGCCTAAATCATCTCTCTCAAGTTCACAATCCCACAAGTATCTAGGGCAGAGTCAAAATGCTGCCAGTCTCTGCTAAAATATAACAAGAGTCAACTTTGTTCCAGTTCCCAACAAGTTCCTTATCTCCATCTAAGACCACCTCAGCCTGAACCTCATTGCCCATGTTGCTATCAGCATTTTGGGCAAAGCCATTCAACAAGTCTCTAGGAAGTTTCAAACTTTCCCACATTTTCCTCTCTTCTGAGCCCTCCAAACTGTTCCATCCTCTGCCTGTTACCCAGTTCCAAAGTCACTTCCACATTTTGGGGTATCTTTTCAGCAATGCCCCACTCTACTGGTACCAGTTACTGTATTAGTCTGTTTTCATGCTGCTGATAAAGACATACCCCAGACTGGGCAATTCACAAAAGGAAGAGGTTTAATTGGACCTCTTACCATCCCATCTTACATGGATGGCAGCAGGCAAAGAGAGAGTGAAGAAGCCACAAAAGCAGAGACCCCTGAGAAAACCATCAGATCTCGTGAGATTTACTCACAACCAGGAGAACAGTATGGGGGAAACCACCCCCATGATTCAATTGCCTCCTACTGGGTCCCTCCCACAGCATGTGGGAATTATGGGAGTACAATTCAAGATGGGATTTGGATGGGGACACAGAGCCAAACCGTATCACTGGGTATCTGGGAACAAAAACTTATTGTCTCACATTTACGGATGCCAGAAATATGAAATCAAGGTGTTGGCAGGTCCAGGTTCCCTCTGAAGGCTCTAGGAAAGGCTCCATTCCAGGATTGTCTCCTAGCTTCCTATAGTTCCTTGGCTTGGGGCTGCACAACTCTATTTTCACATGAGATTTTCTCAGTGTGCATATATCTGTGCCACAATTTTCCCTTTATATAAGTACACTAATCATATTGGATGTGGAACCACCCTAATGACATTTTAAAACTTGATTACCTCTGTAAAGATTTTATCTCCCAATACATTCACATTCTGAGGTTCTAAGTGTTAGGATATCAATGTATTTTTTTTAATGTAGAGGACACAATTCAACCCGTAAAATATAGTTGATATGTATTTTCAGTGTATTAATTGTTCATTGGTTAATATTTAATTCAGCTAGTGAAATTATTGAAGAACAACTTAAGTTGCTAGATAATTTAGACCGCTGAGATACACAATTTTTAAATGATCAGAAAATATTCAAATATCTGATGTATCTTTGCATATATAATGATATTTATACATGTGTGTGTGTATACATGTATATAAAATGCAGTAACTTCTAATGATGGATCAGATTTGGTTGAGGTCAGAAACCTGAGCATACATGGTAGTAACTGCTAGTTTATTGATTGATAAAGGACTTTAACTCTGAAACATCTATTAATAGATGGTAGCATTACAGAATTAAAGCTTTCAATCAGTTCTCAATAATATCTATCTGTACTGGGTATCCAGAAATACAAATAATGGGACTTTGATGAGGTGAAGAACCCATGGTCTTAGAGGCAAAACAAACAGTGTTTTATAGTCAGTGCTGTCTCTCACCTTCTGAGTGCCTTGGGTGAGGTGTCGAACCTCTCCCTGCGCTTCTCTGAAGCTTTTCTGGGTTTAAAATGGGATTAACATGCTCCATGTCTCTCACGGGATTGTTGGATGACAGCCTATGATTGGGCAAATATACAATCTTAATAATACATTAGTATGGGTTTGTTATTTAAATAATGATCCTTTTTGTTTTTTCTTTCCCCTATTTTCTAGTCAATAAGCACAAGCCATGGATCGAGACTTCATATCATGGAGTCATAACCGAGAACAATGACACAGTCATTTTGGATCCACCACTGGTAGCCCTGGATAAAGATGCACCGGTTCCTTTTGCAGGTGAGATTATGGCTTAGTATGGCTGGGCCTGGCTCACTTTGAAGATGTGCTGTGAAACCTCCACAAAGCCCAGAATATGGCTTTATAGCTATTGTCACCACCCTGTGCATCTCTAGATCAGCCTGTGATGTTAAAGCTGTATGCCTCTTCTTATTTCTGGGATGGATTCTGGCTCTCCTTGTGTTTTTGTTTGTTTTTTCCTTCATGTTGCCTCCAGTGCAAGACCCTTGTTTCTTCTTCTAACGAGTGGTAAATTGCTGAAGCGGCCTGCAGAGTTGGAGAAGTTGGGCTAGTAAGGTTCTTAGGGGAATTTTACCCATAAAGAGATAACCCGTTGTCCCCACTATCCACATATAATCGATAAATGGAGACTTATTGCTTGGTAAATGGGCAAGAGAAAGGAGAGAGAGAGAAAGACCAGGAAATATCTGCTAAGAGTGGCACAGGGTCTTGTTCTTGAGCTTCCAAGTGGGTGTGTCTTTGGAGGAGGAATCCCAAGGCAGTGCCATATTTCCCTCTTGTGGCTAGAGAGCCTCTCACTATCATCAAGGCTACGTCTGCTTCCTCCTTGGACCCTCTCCAAATGGTAGGCCCCAGGAGGGCTGAGTGAGGAACTCGGCTATGCCTCATGCTTCCATGGATTTTGGCAAAGAGAAGGGACTGGTCATGGCAGTGGGAGGAGGGATTAGACAAAGGATTTCTGAAGATGCCTGCATCATGAGTAATATTGTTAACATTTTATAACTGTCAGGAGAAGGACAGGAAATTTAATGAAGGTTTTCAAGATTTCTAGAAGATTGCTTTCTGATAGATGGGTGCCGGGCTGAGGTTTCACCACGATGAAGTCTGTTTTTTTTCTGACAGTTTGCCTGCTACATTATGAGCTACTTGGGCAGAGAAAACGGGGTTCTTTTGCACTTCTGAGAGATAAGCTCTGTGAAGACATCTTTCATTATGGAATATTATAAAGTACGGAGTGAGAAGGTAGTTATATTAAATTGGGAAATTCAGTATTATGTGAAGATAAACCCATAAGCATTCTTGCAAAGAGTGAGGGAGATACCCTACTCTCAGAAGAAAGCTTTATTTTATGTAGAATGAAAACCACCGAGGGTACCTGTGACTTCCATGATGTTTAGAATTGAGGCATTTCCATACATTTCCCAATCACCCTCAGAAGTCCCAGTTTTACCAAATGCCAGTTGGAAGTATAAACTCCTTGCAGTCTTTACCACAAAAGATGAAGTATCTTCCCTAAACCTTCTTTGCCAGTCTAGGAAGACTCCAACACATCTCTTTCTTGGACATAGCTAATAATGCTATTGGGCTTAGTCAGCAATTATTAGCACCCCCTGGAAATGAGATTTTTAAACAAATATTAGTAAAAATGTTTGGGTCATGGAAACGTTTGGTTTATTATGCACTTAAAAAAATGGATGCCAGATGTGGTGGCTCATGCCTGTAACCCCAGCACTTGGGGAGGCTGAGGCAGGAGAATCATTTGAGGCCAGAAGTTCAAGATGAACCTGGGCAACATAATCAGAACCCATCTCTACAAAATAATAATAATGATAATTATCTGGGCATGGTGGTGCTTGCCTGGTCCTAGTTTCTCAGGAAGCTGAGGCAGGAGAATCACTTGACTCAAGGAATTTTAGATGGCTGCTGTGAACTATGTACAAAATGCACTCTATCCTGTGTGACAGAGCAAAAAATAAAGAGAAACAACATTTAGAAATTGGGAGATTTAGCATAAAAATGCAGGATTATGGTTTATCTTGATAAGTCTGAAATACAGAGCTGAGTAGTGGCTTTCGTTTCTCCACTGAGCATGAGCCCCTCGCTGCCCTCAGCCCCTCTCCTCACAGCCTATATGCAGAGGCCCTTCCACTAAGAAGATCCTCTCGTTCACCTTTCCGTCTGAACATGTGACCCCTCTTTCAAATATGACAGAGAAAATAAATGACAAACAGGAAGTAATCAGATGACATGAAGTCATTGCAGTGTGCTGAGGCTGGCACTATAAAAGATGAGCAATGTGTCTGATTGTATGTCTGCTTTTAATGTCCTGTTCTCATCTCATGGTGAAAGGGAAACCGAAGTCGTTGAATAAGCTGTTCTACAGTAAAGTTATAAGCTCTCTCATGTACAGACTACAATAGAAAAAAAAAATACCTCAAGCAAATCTGATATTTGAAAGTTTGGATTTACAAAAGGTTATTAAAGTTTGTTGGTTATAGGGCTGAAGAAGAATTAAAGGTTTCATCTGAAGACTCACAAAAGGATTTCCTTAAGTCAGAAACCCACCAAATGCCTTTAAACTTGAATTTGTATTCTGACCGTTAGATGCACCCACAACTGTTCAGGCACTTCTTGAAACTATAGTTTCCTTCTAAGCCAAGCCCTGAGTAGTTATTTCCATTTGAAGACAACTTCTATACTTCTATTATTTGCAGCTGCCTTAAAAGAGTCTAGCTTAATGCATCAAAATATAATCCTCCAAGCTCTTAGGAGTAAAAAATAAAGGTGGTTTTTAGAATGGCCGGAGCTATTTTTCTCACTGTTATTTATGATCAGCTCTAAGACAGGACACAGGCACTAGCCATCCATCCATGCTGCAGGCATTTATTTTAAAACATTTATCTTAAAAAGAAAATACCGAAGATTTATTTCAGATCCCTATCATTCTCATAAAATTGAAAAATTCATATCTGCCAACTCCATCACTCCTCGAAGTCAACTGAAGCTTTTAGTCCTCCCTTATCAGCTGCTTTTGTATTGTGTGTCCCACCCCACAGTTTTCCCACCCCTTTCCCAGTGGTCTTTATTTCTCATTTAGCCCAGGAGATAGGCTCTAAGCTTTGGGGAAGACAGTTCCATCCATACCATTTGTGCTGTTATTTCTCTTACGTGTCTCCCCTTTAATTTTTTTTTAAGCAAAATGTTTTACATATAGATTCTGCCAATATATCCTTTAGAATCATACATGATCTCACATGATTTTCATTTAAATATTATGATTGCATTTTGTAAGTAATTGCAAAATTCAAAGATTTAACATAGCTTTTATGGTATATCTCCTGATTATGACAATAACAAGTGAGATATATAAGTATTTATTGTAGAAACTATGGAAAATACAGTGAAACACACAGTAAAAGCATGAGGTATAACATTTTAGTCTGTTTCCTTCTTGTCATTTTTCTGCTTTTTTTTTTTTCATTCAAAAATTGCGATCACTCTGGGTGCTCATGCTTATAGTCCCAGCACTTTGGGAGGCTGGGGAGGGGAGGATTGCTTGAGCCCAGGAGTTTGATACCAGCCTGGGAAACATGGTAAGATCTTGTCTCTACAAAATAATAATAATTACTAATAATTAGCTGGGTGTGTTGGCACGTACCTGTAGTTCCAGCTACTCAGGAGGCTCAGGTAGGAGGATCAACTGAGCCTAGGAAGCTGAGGCTGCAGTGAGCCAAGGTTGTGCCACTGCACCCCAGAGCAAGACCCTATCTCAAAAAAAAACTTATTATACCTCATTTTGAATACTATAACTTATTTTTTCACAGTAATGAAAATTTGCCATTTATTACATATTTTTCTGCAACTTTTAAAATGATTACATGATTTCCTACTTAATGGATGTTCTGGAGTTCACCATTCTCTGACTGGCACTTTGCCTATTTCCAATTCTCTTTTATTATAACATGTGTCCACATTTCAGATTCTGTTGTTTGGATGGATTTCCAGAATTTTAGTTAATTGGCCAAACATTTTAAAGGTTGTGAAACATGTTAAATTGCTTTCCAGAAAAGTTATATGAGTTTGCAATTTCATTCACACCACCCAAGTCCCTCAGTCCCTGGCCCTCATAAGGTGCATTCTGATGGTGGGATTTAGTAGTAGCCCTACTGTCATCATCTGTGAAATAATACAAGCTTTCTGGAGCTGTTTGTTGTTTTGATGAAATTTAAAGAGTGTCTATGACACATCTTGCAATGATTCAAGATACAGAAGTTTAATAAATTTGAGTTTCCTATTCCATACCCTCCTCCCTGCCAGTTTGGCAGGGGAGATAACTAACTCAGAGAGGCTAAGCAACTTGCCCAACATCCCAGAACAGGCTAGCCTGGGGCTGAATCTAGAGCCAGGGCTTCTCAGCACTTACTCTGAGTTCTCTTTCCCTACGATATTTTCTTTTGATCTCTGTCCCACCTGATTAGTAAAGTGCTGATGCTTAGTGAATGAAACCTCCCTCAGACTTCGGTCAAGTCCACTAGACTTGACTCAATTCTCAACCCAGTGTCTGAGCTCTGTAGATTTGACCTTCTTAGAATCAGATACAGAAAAAAAAATCCTTGAGTAATAATGAAAATTCTGCCCGCTGCATGGAAAAAAATGATAATGAAAGCAAGCTGGGCACACCATGAACTTATTAATTTCTACCTGTGCCCCACCGAGGCCTGTTAGGAAACTGTAGAGACTTTTAAATTTGAAGGGAATTAGATTGCCTTTCAGAGATGATAGAACTGCTCATTTGTCTACATTGGGCCAGTCTGGACTTGTCTTTTATAAGGACAGGGCTGCAGAGAATGATCAGGCATAATTGGCTGACTTCTCAGGCTGGGTGACTCTCTGAGGGCTGCCCAGAAAATTGCCTGGGACGTAATTTGGCCTGGTTTTGATTAGCTGGTTACAGTGCTGGTTGCAGCTGGGAATCCTCTTTCATACATGGTTAACTCTGTTTGTCCTTTTGTTCAGGGCCTGCCAGTCTATCTGCTTCCTTATCTTTGGACCTGCCTCAGGGTCTTGTTCATCTCTCAGGCCCTATAGGTGCCTGATGGCAAAGACCCTCCCACAGGGATTGGGATAGACCCTTGGCAAAGCCTCTCCCACATGCTTGGGATGGCCACATGTCTTATGGTGAGAAGGGAAGGTAGATGTTGTGAATGGTCACAGGTTTTGGCCCAAACTAACATAGACTCTGCCACTTACTAGCTGTA